GATGCTTAACGCCGGCAGTCCGGGAGCTCAGAACTGAGAAATCGATGGCCGGGTGATCGGCTGGCAATACCGTTTGGGTGATTCCACATTTCTTAGAACAAACAAGAAATATGTTGCCAATGAGTCAGATTTTCACTCCCAACAAATTGCAAACCGCTGAAATATGGCCGCTTTTGAACTTAGTGCACGGTCGTAACGCTATGAAATAAAACATTGTGGATTGTAAATATCGATATTGTGCATTACCTCTCATTGAGATCATGCGAAGGCAAAAGATTCAGAGACCTATTGCAAAGCGACAAATCTCGTGGCAAATGGAAACTCCCAGATCACAGATTACTAGTGCAGATCATCGATTACTAGGGCAGATCTCGAAATTTCGCTGAAAAAACGATTCTTGGGAAATCCCAATCCATTCAACATTTTGCATCATGCCGAGTCGGTCGGTAGAGCCAGGTGGAGCGCAGGTAAACCAGATATTGTCGGCCAGCAGCTCTGGCCAAGAGCCAGTCTGGCCAAGTCATTGTGGATGCGCTGGGGAAATCCAGCCAGATCTGTCACCCACCAGGAGTGCCGAGTAGGCGACCGCCAACCGGGCCGACCCCCGGTAACGGTGTCAGTCGGGGTCGCTATCAACTCTCAGGTAGACGCGTCCGTACGTGAACATATGGGAACATCGTCATTTTTCCCGATGGCGTTCCGCCGATCATCAATGACGTTATATGCTTCGTTCCGCCGATCGTCAACGACGCTACATGTTTCGTTCGGCCGATCATCAATGACGCTACCTATTTCGTTCGGCCGATCATCAATGACGCAACATGTTTCGTGTGGCCGATCATCAATGACGCCACATGTTTCGTTCGGCCGATCGTCAGTGACGCTACATGTTTCGTTCGGCCGATCATCAATGACGCTACATGTTTCGAAGTAGTCTGATGTCTCGTACCAAGTTAGCAAAGGTTTTACCAATGTGTGGAAAATGTTAACAGCTATTCACGTTTTGCAATATAGGGTGAAGTGGTCTAGTTGTGCTCGCCTGGTTGTTTTTGCAAGAATACCCTCACCGTCACTTCTAGCCTCTTGAAACTTTGCACTTAATTTTATTTGATGATTTGTGCAGATCCAGCCATCCTGAAATCATAAATATATTGGCTGTTTCACCGCAGAAACGCATGTGGTAACATCCCGTTTTGCGCGTAATTAAGAACACATCCATCTATTTTGCACAGTAAAGAAGCTTACCAAAATATGTAACGTCTTTCTTGTTGCAATTGATGAATCGGCCCTTCAAAGCAAGCCATACAATGATTGCACGAGAAGGCATTGCAACACAGCACACGTAGACTATGTGGGTGACTACAGAAATGACCATTATTAACTGGGTGGACGAAGTGCCCCGTGCGTGACTACGAAAGTGATAGTTACTAACTGGGTAACCTGAGAGTTGCGTGCGCGATTAAAGAAGTGACCGACACTAACTGGGTGAACGGAGTGTCATGTGCGTGGCAACAGAAGTGACCGACACTAACTGGGTGAACGGAGTGTCATGTGCGTGGCAACAGAAGTGACCGACACTAACTGGGTAAACGGAGTGTCATGTGCGTGGCAACAGAAGTGACCGACACTAACTGGGTGAACGGAGTGTCATGTGCGTGGCAACAGAAGTGACCGACACGAACTGGGTGAACGAAGTGTCATGTGCGTGGCAACAGAAGTGACCGACACGAGCTGGGTGAACGGAGTGTCATGTGCGTGGCAACAGAAGTGACCGACACGAACTGGGTGAACGGAGTGTCATGTGCGTGGCAACAGAAGTGACCGTTCCTAACCAGGCGGACCGAGTGTCACGTGCGTGACCACGGAAGTGGCCGCTATGCGCCCTTTGGAGCACATTCTCAATAAACTGACGCACATTAAACGTGTACCTGTGTTTAAAACGAGTGGGCAGCACTTTAAATCATTCAACGCATTTTCTGTGGGGTATGCAGGCATTTCATATCAAGTGAAGAAGTGCGTGTGTTTATGTGTGATTGGAAGCGACTGGACTTCCCGTGTTTAGGCTATATGCTTCCAATACTGCTCACATCAGCTTTTTGGGCTGGTAGCACAATTGACAGGCTGTTGATCTCATGACCCAGGCAGGCAAGACAATCACACTTCTTGCTTTCCAAATGCACACACTTCTCAAAGTAACAGCTCCGCTTACTCGAGATGGTAAATGGAAGTTCTACATCGAACACGTTTTCATGCACAAAGTAAGGTGAGAGTTACAAATCCTGCCCCACATGACGTGTGCGACTGCCACGAGTTTCGCAAAATAATGACATGAGTCATGGGACACTCATGTGACGAATGAAATTCTGCTGCAGCGTCCATAAACATTTTGCTTACGCTCGTGCATAATGCTAGGAGCCAGACAGGAACAGGTCACTTTACCCATTATATGGGTGATACTTTCAGTCGGATGCTGAGCATAGGCGTTTCACGAATGTCAGCCAAACGCTCATCCTTAAATGGCAAATGCTAGCAAAATGAAGTCCAGAGACCGCCACCGAATGAAAGTGATTAGAAAATATCGTGACAGTATTTAACGTCCAGTTTTGTCGCGTCGTGTCTGCATTTTGGAGGAAAAAACCGGAAAAAATGGAATGGCTGTACTTATCATTCGGTCATAATGTATGCTATTGACAGAGTCGATAGCCCTCGCTCCGTGACCCCAGCCGATGCCATCGTTCACATACACATGTAATGCTGTTCTGCTCAATACGCTGTTACCCGTGGTTTGACGAAGGCTTGCTTTGAAAGCAAATCTAGATAAGACAGCAGTAATAGCCTTTTACCTCGGAGAGAAACCAGGAGAATGGGGATATAGATGCGTTGATATTTCGGCAACACGCCTTTATCGAATCAATAGCAGAAATAAATTCTATTCACCTTCAATTCACTTCTGTTCTGAATTCACCTCTGCTATTGTTTCCATGATGGCGCGTTGCCGAAATATGAACCGAATTATATCCATTCTCCTGGTTTCCTCCGAGAAATAAGGCTATCACTAATGTCTTATCTTTGCCAATAATGCTCCTCGCAAATGCATTGAACAGATTACGAAACCAAATCTATTTTGAATCTAGCCGCACCTCGGCTTGTCCATGGAACGTTCGCGGCTTCCGTTTTCACATGTCATCCCTCTCGACTTACCTATTCAGACATCGCCACACACCATCCCTTCTCGATCACGCTTTTCCTGTCCGTTGACCATTCTTACATTTCGCAGTGTTTCCAAACGGCAGCCGAAAGTGACGTTTCCTCCTTAAATCAACCGAGTCGCTCGAAAGTGAGTAAGGTGGCAAATCAAGACCGCTGCCGACCAGGTCCAAGTCATCCACTCCAGGAAGCGGATGACGCATGCGGTGATTCGGACCGGCCCGTTTGCTGCGTACTTCGGCCATGCCTGTGTGGCTAGCCCATCTGAGGCCCTCGGAAGTGAACAAGGAAAGGCTATACGCCCTCGAGTGCGGTTAATACGTATGCCGCCAATATGGAAGCACTTTGAAATAAAAGAGGCGTTAGGCGTGTCAATCATGCCAAGGGTCATAGGCACGGAGGCTCACACTTTGTTGCTCGTCTTTTAAATGTGAACTGTGATAATTTCGCTGGAACTTGGCTGCAAATATGTGTGTGCGTGTGTGCAACCGACATGTATTTTGTGTGCCTCCATGTATATGGTTTAGCTACGAATGCCTTTTGTAATACGCCTCACCTCCCAACCTTATCGACTCCACACTCGGAAGAGTCATTGCTTTTTTAACAGCCGTTTTAAAAGCGCTTTGAACGTCAGTACATACATACATGCTAAAGTTCCTGCGCCGCCGAAGCCTTGAATTCGTGCGGCCCACTCGCATATTTTGGAGACTTGCACTTAGATGGCGCGAAATGGCATCAGACCATGTTCCTACAGGACAATATCATGTATTGTCGGTACAAACAAGGCGCAAGAGAACACATGAACTATTTTTAAGACTCCTTCTGTATTCAAACTTATCCGTAGTACGGCTGTAAAACTGGCTTCGCGACCGTCGAAAACAAGTTGGACCAGCAAACACTAGTTGCACAAAGTACACACCAAAATACCGTACGTCAGCCGAAACGACAGCAGCCAAGCAAGCGAACGTACAAGCCCCGGTTGCCTGAACCCGGAAGAATGAGAGCAGCAGATAAGATGCTATTCGACCGTCTTCGAGTCCGTCATTAAGACGACTGTTATGTACATGTAGTGTGTGCGGTCGCATCTGAAGAGGCCCAGTCCGGCTACGGCGGCGACCAGCGGCGCACCGGACACGGCGGCACGTGACGCCCCGCACGGCAGGTCACGTGACCGGTCTGCGCGCGGTGGCGGGTCTCATTAGACGTGGCAGCCGAGCACGGTCGCTGGTCACTATTCCTGTGTCTGTTACTGTGATCGCTATCATTGGTCTCTGTGGCTATTACTAGTACAGTTCTTGAATACGGCAGTCGACTATCTGGCTACCAGGGGAACGCATGCCACGAAGTCCTCAAAATTACAGCAGGGTGAACTCTCCGAAGCAAAACAGATCGATTAAAAACCTCCTTGATGGGAGGCCTCGTTAAAGCAACAAACATACCTCCAAAGAAACGGCTATAGCATGGCTGTGACGCTGAGCCCGGCAATGTACAGGTAGCCGGCGGCGGCAGGCGGGGATGGCGTGCGTGAGGCCCTCACTGTTCACCGAGACCCGGCAGCCCCATCGGCCAACACGCCGCCATTCAAGGTCTGCAGAAGGTGCAGCACGATCGTCTCATCACCTCCCCGCCCCTTAGCACAAGCACAGCCCGTCGGTTGAATCTCACTGGGAATACGAGACGCCGAATGCCCAACGCAGGAATCTCAGCGGTGTTCCTCGATCTCATGCGCCCGACACAGGAATCTCAGCGGTGTTCCTAGATCTCGGGCACTCGACGCAGGAATCTTCACGGGGAATACGAAACGTCGAACAGTAGAAAATTAATCCCATCAGTGACCCTTAATCTCGAGCACCCGGCGCTGACTTTCATCAGTGTTTCTCCATCTCGGGCGCTCGCAGAAGAGTCTCCCCTGTTTCTCAACCTCTGACACGCGCCACAGAATCTTCTCAGTGCTCGGGAGCCTGAGGCACCAGTCGCAGAACCTCCGTGTTCCAGACCTCGCCCGGAGGCGGGGTCCCCCGCACGACCGCGCGAGGCGCATCCCTGTTCCGTCCCTCTCTCTGGCTCTCTCTGCGGGTCGTCTCACACGTGCTCCACCACCAGCTCGAAGTCGTCGACCTCGCTCAGACGGCTGTTGATGGAGGCGGCCCACTGCTCCAGCTCGTCCTGCCGCAGGAGGCCGCCGTCAGCGAAAGCTGCACCGTCACCAGGCCGGGGGCGCCAGAGGAGTGAAGGGCCGCCGAAAACGTCACCACCACCAGGACACACTCATGCCGTCAGTTTTGTATATGTGCAACCCACCATCTATCACTTCCAATTGCTATGCAAGTACCTTAACGCTACGTGAGCGTGCAATGAGGGTGCCAAATTTGGGGATGAAACAAGTGCAATTTTGTATATGTGCAATGCACCATCTATCACTTCCAATTGCTATACAAGTACCTTAACGCCATGTGAGCGTGCAATGAGGGTGCCAAATTTGGGGATGAAACAAGTGCAATTTTGTATATGTGCAATGCACCATCTATCACTTCCAATTGCTATGCAAGTACCTTAACGCCACGTGAGCGTGCAATAAGGGTGCCAAATTTGGGGATGAAATAAGGCCATGCAAACTTCTTTGGCTGTTTGATCAATTGGAAAACTTATTCGGTTTGGCTGTGTTCTACGGAGAGAAAGTACCCTCTCGATTGGCTTAGGATGCAAACAGAACATGAAGTCTGACAGATTACATGCCACGTGGCCGATCACAGTCGATGCACATGAAATGGGAACATTTGTCAGCCTTTGCTAAGCATTGATAAATTTGTCACCTCGTCACCGATTGCCATTATGACTAAGTTATACATTAAACACATTTTTGGCGAAACTGACAACAAAGGAGCATCGCATGTCCGCAATATTAAAGCAAACGGGCTAGTTAGTACAGCTTAATTGGTCCGAGGCTAGGTGGAGCTCCGTGCGTGCTGCCATCTCACGTGATTCTCACGCACCTCGAGTTCCTCCTTCTTGCGATGGCGCCGCTGCTTGCAGTGCGTGTCCGGGCCGGCCGAGTCGGTGGCCGTGCTGATCTCAGAGCCCAGCGTGGTCTGACCCAGTGTCGACTGGCCGCCCGTCACGTGACGCCGCGAGTAGCTCTTGCTGGCCGCTGCGCACAGGACCAGGTTGAAGACAAAGCCATTCTAGGAGTAAAGCCACCCAGCCCCATGCTTATTCACGGAAAAGTGTTTGCAACAGGCTCCTTAGACTTATTGGTGATGATGATTTGGGCTTTGGGGCGCATCGACTACGTTGGTCATATGGCGCCTATAACCTACTTTTTATCTTACAGATGCGGGAAAAAGGCGAGGAGATAAGGTTACGTCCGATATATGACATGGAATTGTATGTCTTCGATCATGATGATGATTTGGGATTTGGGGCGCACCGACTACGTTGGTCATATGGCACCTCAAGATAACTAAAAATGTAGCCGTCATTTACTAAACTCGAGTCTTTTCCCAACATAGCATAGAGCGTTTGGCGCACGGACCCTGATCCAAAATGGCGCATGCGCTCCGGTGTGAGGTGGGCACAATCTATCAGAACATGTCGTGCGGTGTAATGATCCCCGCAGCGAGGACATCGCGGTTGGTCTTCCCCACATAACAGGTATCGGTGAGTTGCGTATGTGTGTCCTATTCTCAGGCAGCATAACGTCGCCTTAGGCTCATTACTTGCCAGCAAATGCAAGAGCATCCTAAACTCGTGATATTCTATTCAGCAGTCGTACCCCACCCCACCCCCTTAGGGTTTTTTCGCCAGAGTTCATTCGCTTTTTTAAGAGCACGAGGCATGTTGGATATTGTGACTTATAATCCAACGACGCGGTTGTGACTCATTTCTGAGTCATATCATTACCCCCTACTCCTGGCGACAGAAGAGCAATTGATTCTCCGAAACGGTCTGCTGTTATTCAAGACACGCAAATGAGATGGTGGCGAGTAATATACCAGCTCGCCAAGGTGAGCTTATGCCTTTGGCGTGAGGAGCATTGAGCAAAGCAGTTCCATGGAAAGAGACGATGTTCATACGACTGAACATCCTCCCTTGCCGTGAAATGCTCCACGTCATCGGAGTAGCACTCAATGCCATACAACATCTAATTGCTTAAACAGCCAACAAATACCACAATGAGACGAAAGGATATGTTCCATGTAACAGAAAGCAGCAAGTCCCACCGCCCGTCCGCCCCCCGGCTCACCTTGCTGAAGGTACACTCCGGCTCGATAAGCCGCGAGGCCACGGTGGTGGTGACCTCGGCCAGTGGCGCCGCCTTACGTCCCAGCCGGGCGGCGCTGAAGCGGCTCGGCAGCAGGTTGGT